GGCTCTGTGAAATCTGTATCTTCAGTCCTGATTGTTCTGCTGAGCTCCAAAACAACTGTCTACTAGTGAACAGTTGTCTTCTGGATGATCCACAGGTCCCTCTCTAGTGATAAAAGCAGCACTGAGCTCAGGGCCCTCCTCCCCTCTGCTAGTCAAGCCATTCCTCCTGTATTCCCCATTGTGGTGGCAGAATACAGGATTTACCAAATCTCTCTTCAAGTAAGCTTAGATCCCTTCTGTCCTCTGCACCATTTCAGTCAGCCACCAAATCCTAGAAGTGCTATTTCTGAAATTATATAAATAATATGTATAATTTAGATATATAATTTCTCTATATACACAAATGGATGTACATATATATTAGAACATATATAAAATATATATGTATATGTATACATATATCCAACTCTCTATTCTGGACTATTACAATGACCTTCTTGTCTACTTTGAAATATGCTATCTAAACTTGTAAGTGTTATTCCCACAGGTAAGTATCATCATGATGTCATTCCCAGCTAAACTTCTTCCAAGGGTTTCCTTTCCCTTTTCTTAACCCTAGCATCTCGAACTGGGTCCTACTCATCTTCTTGCTTGGTCAGTTCTGAGGTAGAGTGAAAAACTGGTATGTCCTAGGAAAGGAGGACATGTAAAATGAATAATAAATAATTCTTCCATATAAAGAGTTATAGAAGAAACCATCCCTCAGTGCAGTAATTTTTTATCTGTTTTGGAAGGCACTGGAAGGGTCAAATAACATAGAAGATATTTAGTGACCACTTATTGAATACCTATGATATGTCAGGCACCAAGCCAGTTGCTTAAGTTGCAATGATTAAAATATATGGTTCCCACACATGAATTGAGAAAATTATAATGAGTTTTGAGTTATTATACATGTGTAAAGTATTGCTAGAGCATGGAGCTCTGACAGCTTGAGTTGTAACTTGAAGTTTGAGTAGGAACTTGATGAGCTGTGGTGGGCTACATGAGGAGATAAAGGATCCAGGAGTTACAGCAAGAGGAAGCATGATGTTTGGGAAATGGAAAATACTGCGTTGCCACAGGACTGTAGAGTGCTCAGTGGAGGAGGATCAAAGGAGCATGAGTGAAGGGGTGGGCTGAAGCATTCATCGTTCATTTATTCACTTACTAACATGTTCATTAACAAATATTTATCAAATATCCTTTCCAGAGTCTCCTATTAGTTCTATCAGCCCCTTGGAGCTATGCCTGTGTCATGGCTTAAGTTGAGACCTTCAAAGTTTCCTATGAGTAGATAAAGAGTCTAAATGAAGTCATCACTTGTCTATTGCTTTCCCCTTCCTGGACCTCCACTTCCAGTTCTCCTAACATACCTTTAAGCTCTTAAACATTCCTCTGCAGTATCCTAGCCACAGATAAGAAATATCATCCTTTAAATGAATTAGAAGGAAGAGAAAAATACATTTAAAGAGAATAAGCCTCAGCAGTTACACAGAAGCCTCATTGCTACTATAAATATTTAGGACGGGAAGGCACATGGTTTAAGCCAACTCCCTGCCACACTCAATGTGTAGTTTTCATGTTTTAAACTATCAATGTTTCAATGTTCAATCGTTACTCTTGTGCTGGCAGTCCTTTCTTTGTGTGTGTGAGTTTCTCCCTATTAAATAAACCCTCTCTTTTGGAAGAATCCTTATGGCAATGACTATAATTACAAGCCAAAGCTGAGCTGTAAAATGCAATGATATGACAGCTTTTGTGATAGAAAGGGTGGAGAAACAATGAAAGCTTATAATTTTCTTTGAGATGTCTTGAAGTTTGACAGCAGCCCCGCCCTTATGATGTAAATGTGCAGTGACCTAAAGTTTCAGGACAGATGAAGCCAGAAAGACATGCCAAGTCACTGCCACAATGACCACCAGTAAACAAGCAAGGAAAGATTCAGTGTAATGCTGAATTCTCTGACTTCTTCAAAAGGAATAGTCTAGAATGGTATTCCCAACATTTCCAAATATGAGGGCTCTTTTTAATGCCAAAACTTTTCATTCCTCACTTGAGATGAGTTGTTCTTTTAATATCCATCGTTTGAGGACCTACATGATGATAATATGCAATTAATTTGTTATTACTTTGAAATAAATTATTTTGCTTCATTAATCATAACAGCATTTATAAATACCTGAAAACAAAACATACATGTTTTTAAAATATTATTCAGTCTACCAACAAAGTTTGGCCCCTTTTGCATTTGATAACAATGGCAGCAATGCAGAAATTGTACACCTGCCCCACGTAACAGTCTCAGGCCTAGAACAATGTGTTCCTTGTATTCATTTATTTGTTCACTTGTTTAGTTGTTTCTTTTCATAAAAAAAGGGATCGGGGCCTACTATATTCTCAGCATCATGCTGGAGGTCATAGATACAAAATCAAGTGATACCTGGAGCCTGCCATCATAGAACTTAAGTCCAGTGGGGAGGACAGATATATAAATCTGTAAAAGTACAATGAGCACAAAAAACCATGGGAGGAAGTGGTTAGTTCTACTGGGTGAGAGTAGTTAAAAAGCATTTATCTGGGAGGTATATATATTAGTCAGCTATTGTCACAATAATGTTGTACAACAAATCACTCAAAGACATAGTAACTCAAAACAGTCATCCTCAGGCTCATGTCCTCAAGTCAACAACCAATCTGCTGGGCTGTGCTTTGTTTCAGGATTTGGGCTTCAGGCTCTGGGCTCCAACTGTAAGCTGCAGATTGGGATCAGATCCACTCAACATGGCTCTCATCCTCCCTGGACCAGAATATGTGCTCGTGTGGGAGCAGAATATGTCACTACAGAGCAAGAGCGCACAACTGTGCAAGAACAGTTCAGGTCTTTGCTCTTTCTACAGCCATAAAAATTCCATTGTTCATGGCAAATAACATGGCCAAGCCCAAAGTCAGGGGACAAGGACATATACTCCACCTACCTTCAGCCATGCATGAGTGTGAATCTACTGGAGGGAAGTGAGGAATTAAAACCAAAAATTCAATTTACCGCAAGAAACAACTCTTGATCTGAAAGATGATTACAAGTTTATCTGGTTTATCTAAACATCTGAAATGAGGATCAGGAGAAATAAATAAATATTAATACATAGTATTTGGCCTAACAGAAATGTTTTGAGGAAAAGTAGTTGGGTCTGTTGTAAAAGGTGCATGCTCAGTGTCTGTTATGAAATACACCAGGGCCATTAGTATATAGAGAGGAGCAGTCTATATGTGCCAGAGCTAAATAGATCTAGAGAAAATTTAATGAAAGACCTCATCCTGCTGACTGTAGGCCCGTATTGATCATGCAGAAGCCAATTGAACCCAATGTCTCCAATGTGATGACAGTGACATTAAAAAAAAAAAAGTAGAACTCACATACGATGCTGACTTCAGCACCAATTTATTCCTCATGCTACTGTCTTCAAAGTATTGAGGTTTAGTTTGTATAAATTTTCTGTTGTCCCCATAAACATATCAGCACAAACTTAATGGTTTAAAAGCAATACAGATGTATTACTGTACAGTTCTGGAGGTGAGAATTGTGAAATAAGTCACATGGGCCAAAAACAAAGCTGTTTGCATGTCTGCCTTTTTTTCTGGAAACTCTAGGAGATAATCTGTTTCGTTGCCCTTTCTGGAGTCTAGAGTACAACTGCATTCCTTAGCTTGTGGTTCCTTCCTCCATCTTAAAAGGCAGCAGTGTAGCATCTTCAGATCTTTGAATCTCAACACTGCCTCCCTCTTCCACATTTAAAGGACGCTTATGATTATATTGCCTCCCCCAGATAATCCAGGATGATCTCATTTTAATAACAGCTTGTTAGCAATCTTAATTCCTTCTTGACATATTCACAAATTCTGGGTATTAGGATGTATGTATCTTTGAGAGGCCATTATTCTGGTTTTGGTTCTGGTGATTTATTCCAGTTTTTCCTGGACATGGCTCTTGGGGGGAAAAAATAACAATGCTTCATATTAGTATTATACCTTATTATAAACCAAACATTTTCTTTGTTTTTTTTTTTTTTGTAAGCAGAGAACAATTTTATGGTGAACAAATGGAGCCCTAGATATGTTAAAAGACAATATAGTATAGCATAGTAGTTACTTGCTGCTTTTTCAATTGCCTGGGAGTATTCCTCATGTGCCTACATTGGTCTTTACCACATTCTATTGCAATTGCAGTAGCCTCCTCTTATCCGGGGATACCTTTCATAACCCTCAGTGGATGCCTGAAACTAACAATAGGCTAATGTCTACATACACTATGTTTTTTCCTATATGTACATACCTATGATAAAGTATAATTTATAAATTAGGCACAGTAGGAGATTGACAATAATAACTAATAATAGAACAAGTATACCACTATACTGTAATAAAAGTTATATGTGGGCGCGATGGCTCAAACCTGTAATTCCAGCACTTTGGGAGGCCGAGATGGGTGGATCACCGGAGGTCAGGAGTTCAAGACCAGCCTGGCCAACATGGCAAAACCCCGTCTCTACTAAAAAAATACAGAAATTAGCCAGGTGTGGTGGCAGGCGCCTGTAATCTCAGCTACTCGGGAGGCGGAAGGAGAATCGCTTGAACCTGGGAAGCGGAGGTTGCAGTGAACGGAGATCATGCTACTGCACTCCAGCCTGAGCAACAAAGTGAGACTTTCTCAAAAAATAAAGAAAGTTATGTGAACTCTTTTTCTTTCAAGATATCATATTGTACTATAATCACTTAATTTCAGACAGCAATTGAACATGGGTGACTGAAACCGCGGAAAGTGAAACCTTGGATGGCTGGGAGCAGTGGGGGTTATTAATATATTTGTTACATATCAGTATCACCACTTCAAGGCAGACATTTTATGCTCTGTGCCTTAGTAAAAAAAAGAAAGGTGAAAGAAAATAACATTCCTTAACCACTCACTATGTTCAACACATGCCACAAACTCTATATGTGATTTGTAATTTATTCTTCCCTAGGTAAGTAAACCTGGGCCCAAGGTCACAGAGCACGCAGCTGGAACTCACACCAAGACCTGCTCGACTTCAAAACCAGTGCTCTTTCCCCTGCTTGCGATGGGACAGGTGATCCTTCAGCTTACTCTTGAAGAGACAGTGAGGGCTACTGCATTTCCGTGTCTGAAATGAAGCCTTGTAGAAACAAGTAGCAGTAACCAAACAGCATTATTTTTGTTTGTTCATTTGTTTCCAAATGACTTGTGACTTTTCTAATGGAGAAAATCTTCAACCCAAATCTTAATTCCACCAACAATGAATGTGTGCCTTGGACAATTCACAGCCTGTCTGAGCTGGTTTATTTTAGAGTGAGCAAGTTGGAGTAGGTGACCTCTGAGTTTTCCTCTGTAGTTTGAGACATTTTGGTGTTCACACAGCATAGCACATGAAGAGCTGAGACTAGAATACAGGTTTTCTGTGTTCACAAGGGGAAGGCTTTTCCATCAGCCCTCCTGAGTCTGTGACATATTCCAGTTTTAAGGCAGAACTTTGAAACCAGAAGTAAATGATTAAGTTTATCTCTCTCTGTCTATGCGTATTCTAGCCCAATAAACCATGACACTTAAAAATAAAACAATTTCAATATTTCAAAGATGTAGAAAATTTACTTTAACCATTTTTATTGTTTTTATAAGTAAAAAATTATTAAATGATTGACATGTATTTTTTAAATGGGAAATAATAACATGACACGCATGTACCACAATACCAAGATTTAATAAATCTTTACATTATGCAATATCTGCTTCAATTTTTAATAGAAATAAAACATCACAGGTAAAATCAAAGTTTCCTAATCTTATATTTCTTCACACACTTCCCAGAGGAAAATGACTATTCTGAAGTTAGTTGGTTCTATTCCTTAATTTTACTATGTTTATTCATATTCATAAGACATTTACGTAGTATTGTTTTAAGTACTTTTGAAACTGATATAAATGGAATCATACAACAAAGTTTATTTTGCAACCAAATCATTCCTGCTGATTCCTCAGCAGTTTTTTTTTTTCACTGCATGTTTTGGTTGCAAGATTTATCCATGTTAAAATGTGTAGGTCTAGTTTATTAATTTTAATTATGTTTTATTGTATGACCATGACATTTATTTTTTCTGCCGATATTGAATTTAAATTTTTTTTCCTTATGTCAATCTCCTTGTTCCTGTGAGTTTCTCAAACTATGACCTGAAGATCATTACCAATTTATAACTAGTTAAGTACAGAAATTGACAATACTAATGTAGAAAATTTAATAGCAGTCCAACTGAGTGCTTTTATGTCTGTTAAATCTAATAATACAGACTATTGAGGTTTATATTTTGTATGTCTGTTTTAAAGTTTTATTTTATTTTATTTTATTTTATTTTTGAGACAGGCTCTCACTCTGTCACCTAGGCCAGAGTGGAGTGGTGCAATCACAGCTCACTCTAGCCTCAAACTCTCAGGCACAGGTGATCCTCTCACCTGAGCTTCCCAAGTAGCTAGGACTATAGGAACACGCTACCACACCTGACTAATTTTTTTATTTGCTATAGAGATGGGGCTTTGCCATCTTTCTCAGACTGCTCTCAAAATCCTGGGCTCAAGTGATCCATCCACCTCACCTCCCAACATGCTGGGACTACAGGCACGAGTCACTGTGCCCAGCCAAAATTTTATTTATTCATTTGCATTGCATTTTACAAACATATTGATCCTCATCAGGTTGGAAATATTTTTAGAAAACTTGGCTTTTTATTACAGATAGTTTGAGACTTTCTCCATGGTTTCTACCTGCAAGTGAAATTTCTGGCTTGATGAATAAGTGCATCTTTAGCTCTAAAAGCTATAAACAAATTGCACTCCAGAATGGTCAAACCCATTTTCAGTCTCTTCTGCAGTGTATGAGTTTCCTTTTCCAATAGTTACATTATCAAACCTTTAAATCTTTCTCAATATGGTAGCTGTGACGTAATGTTTTATTTTAATTAGCAATTATTTGATTAGTAGTGAGGTTGAATATCTATATATATGCTAATTACATTCCCAGTTACCTGACTTTAACAAGGCAAGTTTCCCAGTTTGCAAGTATGGGTAAAAAACATCTTTAAAAATATAGCTATAGCAGGTAAAGTATCACAACAGGTAAAACCGGTTTTTAAGAGGAAAAGCCTGGGAACAGCTAGTTTTGACTTGATGGAGGACAGGAAAAACCAGTCATAGCAAATGAGTGAAAGACAGATAACTTTAGAGTATACAGGTCTTTTCCAGTATTTTGGTTTCGGGACAATCCTTCCATCACCATTATGACATTTCAGTGGAGAATTTTCACTAAGAATTCTGTACCTGTTTTTTCCTTTTGATCATCAATGATTTTCTGGTGCTGATGAGATCAAGGGGACAGAGAGGCTGAGTACCTCCATGAGCTTCATTATTTTCCATGATCTGACCTCTCATTCTCTCAGCCTTTGAAGTTTGATGAAGGAAAAACTCTGAAAAAAAGGTGCAAGGAGGTAGGTCCAGGCCCTCCTTCCAAGTCACCCTGCCTCAGCCTGAGAGGTTTTTTTTTTTTTGAGACTCACTCTGTTGCCCAGGCTAGAGTGCCATGGTACCATCTTGGCTTACTGCAACCTTCGCCTCCCGTTTTCAAGCATTTCTCCTGCCTCAGCCTCCCAAGTAGCTGGGACTACAGATATGTGCCACCACACCCAGCTAATTTTTTTTTTTTACTTTTTATTTATTTATTTATTGTTTTAAATTGCATTTTAGGTTTTGGGGTACATGTGCAGAACATGCAAGAAAGTTGCATAGGTACACACATGGCAGTGTGTTTTGCTGCCTTCCTCCCCTTCACCCACATTTGGCATTTCTCCCCAGGCTATCCCTCCCCAGCTCCCCCCACCGCTGTCCCTCCCCTATTGCCCCCAATAGACCCCAGTGTGTAGTGCTCCCTTCCCTGTGTCCATGTGTTCTCATTTTTCATCACCCGCCTATGAGTGAGAATATGCGGTATTTCATTTTCTGTTCTTGTGTCAGTTTGCTGAGAATAATGTTCTCCAGATTCATCCATGTCCCTACAAAGGACACGAACTCATCATTTTTGATTGCTGCCTAATATTCCATGGTGTATATGTGCCACATTTTCCCAGTCCAGTCTATCATCGATGGGCATTTGGGTTGGTTCCGGGTCTTTGCTATTGTAAACAGTGCTGCAATGAACATTCGTGTGCATGTGTCCTTATAGTAGAAAAATTTATAGTCCTTTGGATATATACCCAGTAATGGGATTGATATTAGCCAGGATGGTCTCAATCTCCTGAACTCGTGATCTGCCCTCCTCGGCCTCCTAAAGTACTGGAATTACAGGCATGAGCCACTGTACTTGGCCACCTGAGACATTTTTTAAAATGCCAATCAGAACTTACACTTCCATGCTTAAAACCTATCAATATCTTCCAAAAGCCTAATAAAATTGGAAACACTTGGTGTGGAGCTTTCCTCCCTCTTCGACCTGGTCTCACCTTCCTTCCTTCTAGCCTGTATGAAATTGCCTGGAGAGTCCCAGTTTATGTCAAACTGTTTTGCACTTTCATTCCTCGGCTCAAACGCTTCCTCTTCCCAGGATTGCTTCTTGCCCTTCCCTGGTTGGCATGGTACACCTCTCCTCCTCATTCATAACTCAGCTATCAGGCCTGTCCCAGGAACAACTGATTATTCCCCTTTGTATGTACTGCTAAATTAAAATTTCAAAACATGTACCCCTTTGTAAAATGGACTTTTATTCAAAGTGCACAGTTCAGTGAATTATTACCAAAAGAATTACTGGTACAACCACTGTCCTAGTCAAAATAGAACATTATCACTCCCTCTTCCCACTAATTAGTTTTCCTTTATTTTTTTAGTACTTTATATAAATGAAATCATATCACGTGCACTTTCTGGGTCTGGCTTCTTTGGCTTAATGTTATAATGTTTACCTGTGTTGTATACAACAGTTCATGCATTTTCATTGCTGTATTGTATCTGATTTATGGCTACACCACATGTTGGTTTGTTTTTTAAGATTGCGGATGGATATTAGGGTTATTTTCATGTTGATGCATTACAAATATTGCTATTTTGAACATTCATACACATGTCTTCTGGTGCATATGTATGTATGCATTTCTGTTGGACATATACCTAAAAGTGGAATTGCTGGGCCATAAGGTATATCATATTCAAATTTAGTAGGTACTGACAGTTTCTCAAAGTGGTGGCTGTATCAGTTTATACTCCCCCCAGCAATTTTGCTTGTAGTTGGCTTTTAACTTTAGCTATCTTTTTGAATATGCAGGGGTATCACATTGTCGTTTCAATTTGAATTTTCTCTGATAAATAATTGAGAATTTTTTCATATAATATATCTTTATTGCCATTTAGATATTCTGTTTTCTGAAGTGCCTGTTTACATCTTTTCCCCTTTTTTCTATTAAATTATCTGAATCTTACTGATTCTTTAGGAGTTCTTTATAACTTTTTTTTTTTTTTTTTTTTGAGACAGGATCTTGCTCTGTCACCAAGGCTGGAGGACAGTGGTGCAATCTTGGCTGACTACAGCCTCTGCTTCCCTGGTTCAAGAAATTCTCCCACCTCAGCCTCCCAAGTAGCTGGGATTACAGGGGTGCACCACCATACTCAGCTAATTTTTGCATTTTTGATAGAGATGGGGTATCACCATGTTGGCCAGGCTGGTCTCAAACTCCTGACCTCAGGTGATCCACCCACCTCGGCCTTACAAAGTCCTGGGATTTGTGAGCCACCATGCCTGGCCTATAATTTTAATGTAGTCCAATTTATCAGTATTTTCCAGAAAGCCCACAGAATCATAAGAAATATATTGTCATTTTAGGCCACTTAGTTTGAGGGGTATGTTGTAGAGTAATAGGTAAGTGAAGCAGAAAAGTACAGAGAAGCTTGTATCTAAGAGAGCTGATTTATCATTTGATTTCTCAGAAAACAACAACATTTCCAAAAGAACTGTATCAGCTTGAGCTGAAAGAGATTGAGACAGTTCAAAATGAGAGAAGCTTCTGGGTCCTCGAACTTCTGTGGGGAGTAAGCAAGTTCAGAAAGTTTCTCAGTTGCAAGCATGGACTGTTTCTAATGAGAAAGGCAGGATGTCACAGAGGGCAGAGGCAAGAGCCCCAAAGGTGTAGCCAAGAGCCATGGAGAATCACTCCCAATGTAGCAGGGCTGGCAACATGTGCTCAGAGGATTCCTGGGGAATGGGTGACTGCTCTGTGCCTCCTATTCATGCCCCTCTTTTAAATGCAAGTGTCTACTTGTTTATCATAGCCCTATCTTATGAATATATGTTGTATGTATATATATAGGAGTGTATTTGGGTGTTGGTGGTGAGGTTTGAGAGAGCTAGTCTTTTTAATTCACAATCTGTACAATTCAGTATCGGCATCCAAGGAACCATACCCAAGGAGTAGTGCCAGAGGGAACACATCTGAGGAGCTCCATCTGGATCTGAACATGATTTAGTTGACAAGATGCTAGACTTTGAGCTGGTGCCATAATGAAATGAGGCTTTGGGAGTCTAGAGGGAGATAAGTGTAAGTATATTTCACCGGTGAAGAATGTAAAACATAAAAGGCCAGGACATGAACTCCGTAGCTAATCTCCAAAGATGGCTCTCAGTGAACCACACCTCATGGAATTCATGCCTTTGCGTAGTCCCCTTCCACACTGAATCTGGGTTAACTTTGTGACTTTCTCTCACAGAAGTGACGGAAGTAACAACATAATGTATCCCTCTGCTTAGTTAGATCATCTTTAATTTCTCCCAATAATGTTTTGTAGGTTTCTGTGTAGAGGTCTTACACATTTTTTAGATCGATTCTTTGACATGTGACTTTTCTATGCTGTTGATATATGAGATTTTGTTAAAAATTTTTGTTTTCTAATTGCTTCTTACTGGCATATAAAAACTTAATTACATATAAAAACTAACTACAGGACTTTATTTCTTGAATATGTACTCAGTGGCCTCGGTTAATTTCTCTTTCAATTGTAATAGTTTTTCTGTCAGTCTTTTGGATTTTCCTACATGTATAATTATATATGAATAATGACAGATTCATTTCTTCCTTTCCAATCCTCTAATAGGGTTTCTTTATTTGTTTTTCTTGCTTTGCTGCACTAGCTAGAACCTCCAATATAATATGGAATCTTTCCCTTGTTTCTGATTTTAGAGGAAAAGCTCTTAATATTAAGTATGATGGTTTTAATGGGGTTTTTCTAGATACCTTTGTGAAGGCCAGAGTTTTTTAAATAAATGAATCTTGCTTTTCTTAAAAAATTTTACTGCATCTATTAAGATGGTCATATGATTTTTAAATTCTATTACTGCAGTAAACTACATTGATTTTTCAATTTAAATAACCATCTTACATATCTGAAATAAACACACTTTGGTCATGGTATAATATTCTTTTTGTGTAACACTGGATTTTATTTATTTATTTATTTTAGAATTTTTGCTTATATGTTCCTAAGAGACAGTGGCTTGTTATTTTTTTTCTTGTGTGTTCTTGTCAGGTTTGAGAATCAAGGATATGTTGATCTTAGCAAAATTACTTGGGAAGTACTTGCTCTTTTTCTATTTTCTGGAGAAGTGTAAATTTGATGTGATTACTTCTTTAAATATTTGGTAAACTTCACTAGGGAAGCATCTAGAATGGAAAAAATTTAGTTATGGACTCAATTTCTTTAATAGATGTAGAATTATTCAACTCTGTCTGTTTCCAATACTCTTATTTTGGCGCATTGAGATTCTCTATGAATTTGTCTATTTTATGTAAGTTTTCCAAATTATTGGCATAAAAGTCACATGGACCTCTTAGGATTTTTCTAAATGAGCCTTTGTTCTTGAAATTATGTATTTGCACATTTTCACTGTCTCTCTCTTCTTCATCAGACCGGCCAGATGTTGGCAATGTAACCTTTTTTTAAAAAAAGAGATACAACCTTTGGATTTGTTAAACTTCATTACATGTTTGTGTTTTTTCCATTGGTTTCTAGTTTGCTGTTTGTAATTTACTTTATCTACTTTCTTAGAGTTAAAATTTGCTGTTCTTTTCGAACTTCTTGAAATGGATGCTTAGATAATTCATTTCCAGTTTTTCTACTTCCCTAATAGCTTCATTTAAGCCTATAAGTTTCCCTTGAGGCATAGATTTGGATTCAGCCCACCCATTTTGATATGTTACATTTTTAATATGTTAAATTTAAAATGTCTTCTGATTCGTATTGTCATTTTTGGTTTGACTTATTGAATAATTTAGTAGTGCATTATTAATTTCTGAAACTGTGATGTTTTAATATGGCATTTTTGTTTTTTATTGCTGGTTTACTTATGTGTGGTCCAAAAACATATTCCATATTACTTCAGTTTCTTAATGTTTGTTAAGGTTTCCTTTATGGGCAAGCATATGGTCAAATTTTTTAATAATATTGCAAAGAACATGTACTTGAAAAAAATTCTAGTCTGCTGTTGTTGGGTATTAGTTTTCAACATGTATATATCAATTAGATCAAGTTTGTTAATCATGTTCTTCAAATCCGTACATTTTTGCTGGTTTTTGGTCTGTTTATTCTATTTATAGTCTTTACTGAAAGAGGAGTGCCAAAATCTCCCCTCGTGATTGTGGATTTGTCTATTTCTCCTTTTAGTTCTGAAAATATTGTTTTATATATTTCAAGGATTTGTTTCTAGATGATAGCTGCACCCAGTTTGGGTTACACGTGATATTGAAAAACTAGAGTGATAGGATTCCAGAGAACCATTGCTGTGGTCTGAGTGTTTGTGTCATCCCATAATTTATATGTTGAAATCCTAACCCCCAGGGTAACTGCATTAGGATGTAAGGCCTTTGGAAAGTGATGAAGGCTCTGCCCTCATGAATGAGATTAATGCTCTTAAAAAAGAGACCCCTGACAGCTGCTTTTCCCTTTCTGCCATGTGAGCACACAGTGAAAAGGTCCCATTCATGCACCAGAAACTGAGCCGTCACCAGACACCAAACTAGTTGAGCCCTTAGTCATTAACTTCCCATTCTCTAGAACTGTAAGAAATAAATTTCTGTTGTTTATAAGCCACCTAGAGTTTAGTACATTGTTATAGCAGCCCGAATGGACTAAGACAGCCACTCCACTAGGCAAGCCTGTGTGTAGAGTCATCAAAGACAGCTTGGAGAAATGGGCAGATTGCTGGCCTTGAGCACCCACATAGCTCATTTTTGCCCTGTGGGAGCTAAAAAATATCTCTTAGATGCTGCCGGCCTCCCTCTGGTTTGGTATATGCTTAGCACACTCCTGCCTCAAGGCCTCTGCATTTTCCATTCTTTCTCCCTAGTATACTCCTCCAGGTAACTTTGAGGCTTGGATCAGAGATAGATGTAAAGCACATGAAATAATACCTAACATATATGGTTACTGAAAAAGAAGGGAAAAAATGTAATGAGTTCAAGTGAAAGAAGAGCTCCATGAAACGTGGTTAGGATTCACCTAGAGAAAAATGGATTTGTGTGGGGGATGGAGAAGAACATATTATCATCAAGTAAACAAACGCGTGGAGCTGTGAGGGTGAAAGTTTCTCTAGACACCTCACAATGAGTCCAGAGTTCAAGGAGGAAAATGGTAGGTGGTAGGCGATTAGGTAAGAAAAGTAAGTTGAATCCCAAAATAAAGGGTCATGAGGAGTAGGCAAAGGGTTTTGGACTTTGCATCCTGCCTTCTACTCCTAAACTCGTGACTTACCTCCTGACTAGAACATGAGATTCCTCAGGGCCTGTCCAGCATGATGCTTTGCACGCAATCTGCAAGCAACATTCCATTTATTCGTGGCTAAACACTCAGGCCCTGGGGTGAAACTCTCTGGGTTCAAATCCTGCCCCATTACTTCCTGACTGTATGGCCTTGGGTAAGGTAGTTAACTTCTGTACACCTCTGTTTCCTTATCTGTTATTAAAAGGGGAGGGGGTGCTAATCAAGGTAGCAGGTTCACTGGGTACCTTGATTAGCCCCCCTTTTTGTTCAGTAAAGGTTTGATGAATGTCACATATCAATCACTTGCTATGCAACCTGTCACAAAATTTTGTACAATCAAGTAGCAATGTGGCAATGGCTGGGATTTTGAAGGATGGATTGATTGAGATGGTTGGAAATCATATATGTGTTATTCTATAACAGTTTATTTTCCTGATTGATGTGTTTTGTAGGCAGCTAGCATGGGCTAAGTATGTTATCATCAAGCACTAAAGAGACTTAACTAGAGCAAGTAAAACAACACCCGAAATACAATGTACATATATCAGAATGCTTTTCAGTTCTGGGTTTGTGTTCTAACTTGCCTTTAAATGTGTGTTGAAAAGAGTTTGACAGATGGGCAGAGGCAACACCATTACTGAGAAAAGTCACTTGACAAATCCTAATATTTCAAAGAGCCACTTCATTTGTGGTACTAAGATTAAATTAAGACAGTGCTCTGGGAAAACACAACTATGCCAGGACTCTCCTCCTACTGAATACTTCTCATGTCTAAGCTTTATGTTTTCAATACTCATTTCTAGGTCTATTTTCAGTTGCTATACAAAGGATTAATGAAAATAACTCCATCGAATGTGATTAATGTCTCAGAAATCTATCTCATCCCAGAATTTATAAGACACTGGCTTCCTATAGAAAGGCCTTCAAAACAGTAAGGTAAAGAAAATAAAATCATATCTAAGTTTAAACATTGAAATTTTGATTTTGATATTGTATTTGATAATGAATTTTGGTCAATGCATGTTTATTTTAAAAGAAAACATGCACAACAGCTTTCCTACTAATAGTGGTAGAAAATAACATAGCTATTTAAAATACTCAATTTATACAAATTAAGATGCAAATGTTGGTGTTAGTCACTTAAAACAGAGATGAACATTTAACTCTTAACATGAACTTTTTTTTTTTTTTTTGAGACAGAATCTCTCTCTGTCACCCAGGCTGGAGTGCAGTGGCATGATCTCAGCTCACTGCAACCTCTGCCTCCTGGATTCAAACAATTCTCCTGCCTCAGCCTCCCAAGTAGCTGGGTCTAGAGGCATGCACCACCATGTCTGTCTAATTTTTTTGTATTTTAAGTAGAGGCAATGTTTCACCATGCTGGCCAAGGTGTTCTCGAACTCCTGACCTCATGATCTGCCTGCCTCGGCCTCCCAAAGTGCTCAGATTACAGGAGTGAGCCACCACGCCTGGCCAGCATGCACATTTTATACTTAATCTATTATCACTAATATATTCTGTTGCTTCACCATTATCATAAAAGGAAATGATTTCCTTTTCTGGCAAAGAAAGGAAATAATAGTATTAACCTCCCATGATTATTATGAAAATAAAGTGAAATTAAGTAAACAATAGTTTTCAAACTATTGAGAGGATGCAGTTACTCATCAGTAATATTAAAAGAGAAGGAATACAATAAAATTGTGTTTCTTCTTTTAAGACTTATAAATGCACATATGTGTACATATGTGTATATATACTTGTTAACTTGAGCAGAGCTGTATAGCTAGCTCTCTATATAATAAAAATATATGAAAATTCAACAATTTAGTATAGAGATTTTTCTAATGAAAAGCACTTTTTAAATTTCAAGCATTTGCTTTGTTTTCTAAAACCATAACAGCAAATTTTTGTTTATTATGCCAGAACATAATTAGTAGTTATTCAAGTGAGCACAGACAGGATTACATAAAAACAACAGGTGCAAGAACTCCTGGACAATCTCATTAATTGCAGAGGCTCTACGGATTTGGAGCAAGAGGTCCAAAATACCCCAGAAGCAGGTGTTCTAGGTCTTCTTATGCCTCATGTGGGCACTTGGAGGTATTTGATGTGGTAGATAACAGCTTGCTTAAAGACAAGGCTGAATAGGACAGCTGTCAAGGGCACTAGTGGTATGTGAGAGGTTGGGGACTGGAAAACAGAGAGCTTTACGGAGAGCCCCAGCCAGGGCCAACTCTGGCTAAGTTGATTTCTGTGTTCTCTGGTTTCTCTGTCTGCCCTGGTTTCTCACTTGGGTTTCCTGTGCTTTCCGCCCGCCGTCTGAATCACATTGCCTTCCTGTCTAGGTGCTGCTCCCTACTCTTCTCATGGCTAACTCCTTCTCATTGTTTAGGGTTCAGCTCAACTGTTACTTCTTCATGGAGGCTGATGCCTCCCAGTCTTCATCTTATAAGTGTGCAGCTTCCATCACCATCTGTAACAATATTACTCAATCATCTGTTATTCACTGTGTGTTGCAGAAGGTGAACTTTATGAGAAGGAACTGCATATCCAGCAGTTTCTGGGTCATACCTTGCATCAGGTAACTGATGAATGAATTAATGAACGAACCTCCAGGATTCCTTCAGTTTACCATATTCTGCTTGATTATCTGTTCCCTCAAAAGGCATTACAATTGTCCTGTATTCTCTCAAGCACCCTCTTATAACTTTTTGAGTTAGTAGCGTGTTTGCCAAGGCTAATCCTCTTTAGCATGTTAGCCAGCTATGACAGCCACCTTTTCACATAAGAAGATGATTTAGCCAAGTTATAAACTTCTTTGGGATCTATTCATAAAAGTATATCTAGGGGTATACATTTCTAACAATACAGAAAAATGTAGAGCTTCCCATTATAAAACATCTAGAAATACGGAAAAATTATACCAAACATACTTTTAAAAGCATAGCTGAGTTTATCAGATAGTATGAGAAATGTTCGGAGCTAAAACTGAAAAGATCACTGAAAACCAGAGCAGCACAGAGGCAGGAAGCCTGTGGCTGCCCTGGGAGGGAAGTGGGAGACAGGAAGGGGGCGCCATCGCACTAGCTCAGAGCCAGTGCATGCATGGAGATGGCAGATGTGGTCCTGGCTTCATGCATATATAAGGCTGGGAGTTGGAACTGAGAGGCCAGTAAGGGACTCTTGAAGGACTCTATTTTCAGTAATTGAGAGGTCCTTAAAATAAATCCACCCACTGACAGGGAGATGACAAGGTAGTTTGTTTATTTCAGTCTGGGTTCTGAGTGAGGAAAAAGAAAGGGGAGCCTGAGAGTCCTTTATCAGGACCTGCCCCCACATGGATTCAGGGCTTGTCTTTTATAGCTCAAGAACTCTCCATCAAACAATTCATGTAAACATGAAGCCTGGTTTCCTACCCATGGAGCATTCGACAGAGACAGATGTAAAACTTTGCTGCAGGATCACGCCTTCAATCCAGGCCTCACAGGATCCTCACAGATAAAGGCTCACTGTTGATAAATTCGCAATCTATATTTATGAAACACTCAAGCTACCAGGAGCGAGAGGCAGCAGATACCACAAACAGCATGACTGGATGCGTAGGAATTTCCGGTGAGTCAGACATGGGCAATAAAACAGGTATCTTTAGAATGGTTAA